CCCTGCAACAGAATACACATTCTTTTCAAGTGCACATGGGACATTCTCCAGAATAGATCACATACTGGGTCACAAATCAGGTAGGCCTCAACAGTACAAAATATTAAGATCATACCATGTACATTTTCTGACCACAACATTATTAAACTTGAAGTTAACCACAATAAAAATGTGGAAATAGCACAAATATGTGGAGGTTAAAAAGAACATCCTACTAATGAACAAATGGGTTAACCAGGAAATTAAAGAAGAAATTTAAAAAAACACAAGGAAACAAATGGAGATGAAAACATGACTGTTCAAAACCTATGGATGCAGTAAAAACAGTCATAAGAGAGAATTATACAGCAATACAGGCCTACCTTAAGAAGCAAGAACAATATCAAATACATAACCTAACATTATACCTAAAGGAGCTAGAAAAAGAACAACAAATGAAGTCTAAAGTCTGCAAAGGAAGGAAAATAATAAAAATTAAAGCAGAAAAAAATGATGTAGAAACAGCAACAACAAATAGTAGAACCGATCTATGAAACTAGGAGCTGGATGTTTGAAAGAATTAATAAAATTGATAAACCCCTAGCCAGGCATATCAAAAAGTGAAGAGAAATGACCCAATTATTTGGGTCATTTTATTTATTTTATTTATAGTTTATTTATTCATTTATATATAAATATTATTTATATAATAATAATTATATATTTTATTTATTTATATATTTATTTTATTTATATAAAATCATGAATGAAAGGGGAGAGATCACAACCAACACCAGAGAAATATAATTCTCAGAAAATATTATGGAAAAATATATGCTAACAAATTGGACAATCTGGAAGAAATGGATAAATTCCTAGAAACATGTAAATTACCAAAACTGAAATAGGAAGAAATAGAAAATCTGAACAGACTGATAAGCAGCAAAGAAATTGAGGCAGTAACCAGAGTCTTCCAACAAACAAAATTCCAGGGCCAAATGGCTCCCAAAGAATTCTACCACACATTTAAAGAATTAATAAATATTCTGCTGAAGCTGTTCCAAAAAATAGAAATGGAAGGAAAATTTCCAAACTTATTCTACAGGGCCAACATTACCTTGATTCCAAAACCAAACAAAGATTCCACTAAAAAAGAAAATTACAGGCCAATATCTCTGATGAACATGGATGCAAAAATTCTCAACAGAATAGTATTAAATTGAATCCAACAGTACATTAAAGGAATTATTCACCACAATCAAGTGGGATTTATTCCTGAGCTGAAAAAGTGGTTCAGTATTTGCAAATCAATCAACATGAAACACCACATTAATAAAAACATAAGAACCGTGTGATCCTCTCAATAGATGCAGAAAAAACATTCCACAAAACACAGCATCCATTCTTGATAAAATCCCTCAACAAAGTAGGGATAGATGGAATATACCCCAACATTATAAAGGCCATATACAAAACCCACAGCTAATATCATCCTCAATAGGGAAAAGTTGAGAGCTTTTCCTCTATGTCTGAAACAAGACAGGGATGTCCACTTTCACCACTTTCTTACATTATACACACACAGAAATTCAAAATGGATGAAAGACCTAAGTATGAGATAGGCAACCATTGAAATCCTAGAGGGGAATACAGGCAGCAGCTTCTTTGACATCACATGTAGCAACTTCTTAATGGATACATTTACAAAATCAAGGGAAACAAAAGCAAAAATGAACTATTGGGACTTCATCAAGATAAAAAGCTCTGCACAGGGAAGGAAACAATCAACAACACTAAAAGGCAATCTATGGAATGGGAAAAGATATTTGCAAACTACATACCTTGATAAAGGGTTAGTATCCAAAATCTATAGATTTCATCAAACTCAATACCCCAAAACAAATAATCCAGTTAAGAAATGGACAGAAGACATGAATATTTTTTCCAAAGAAGACATACAGATGGTTAACAGACACAAGATGCTCAACATCACTCATAATCAGGGAAATACAAATCAAAGCTACAATGTGGTATCACCTCACACCTTTCAGAATGGCTAAAATTAACAACACAGGAAACAACACATGTTGGCAAGGTTGTGGAGAAAGGGGAACACTCTTATACTGTTAGTGGGAATGCACACTGGTACATCCACTCTGGAAAACAGAATGGAGTTTCCTCAAAACATTAAAAATGTGTCCTGTTATTAAATATCTGATTGCTTGCATCACAGGCCTAACTTTGGGAGCCCACCTGAATCACCATCTCCCGAAATGAGATACACCTGTTTAACTGAACTGACCTATTCTCACTACTAAGAGATTGGTTTAATGAGATGGAATAATCTATCAACTTCTGGACTGTGAAGCTTCTTGGAGAAATTTCAAAGGCAGGACTGCAGGGTCCAAAACAATTCTCCCAAAATGTGCCACTTTGTCATGTGGTCTATTTTGAGCTGAATTCAATTAAGACCCAGAAGACTGAAGAAAACCTTTTACCTCCCTGTTAAATTACCTAAAATATTTTTTTTAAAGATTTTATTTATTTATTTGACAGAGAGAGACAGTGAGAGCAGGAACACAAGCAGGGGGAGTGGGAGAGGGAGAAGCAGGCTTCCCGCTGAGCAGGGAGCCCAATGTGGGACTCGATCCCAGGACCCTGGGATCACGACCTGAGCTGAAGGCAGACGCTTAACGACTGAGCCACACAGGCGCCCTAAAATATTTTTTTAAAGATTTTTTATTTATTTATTTGACAGAGAAAGACACAGTGAGAGAGGGAACACAAGCAGGGGGAGTGGGAGAGGGAGAAGCAGGCTCCCTGCTGAGCAGAGAGCCCGATGTGGGCCTCAAACCTAGGACTCTGAGATCATGACCTGAGCCGAAGGCAGACACTTAACGAATGAACCACCTAGGTGCCCTAATTACCTAAAATAATTTAGATAGGGATACTGGATTAGAAAGAGAACTATTACCAAGAGATAACATTTTTTTTTTAATCTAAATGACCTATATTTATGGCAGGAGAAACATCTAATTACCAAACATCTGCTCTTATCTTCCTGTGACTCACCCTCCCCCACCCCATTTGAACCTCCTACACCTTTATACCATTCCTTAGCTCAAAATTACACGTAAGCCTCAATTTCCTAACTTGTCCTTACGTCTATTCTTATGGGGCCCTTGTATGTATGTAAATAAAATTTTTTCCTATTAATCTGTTTTTTGTTATTTTGATTATTAGAAGAGTTAAAGAGACTGAGAAGGATAGAGGAAACATTCACAATATACCTTTTCATGCTTTTGTACCTTTGTGTTATATTCCTTCTATCCACAATGCCTTTTCTGTCCCTTATCTACTAATGAAATACGCTCATCCCTCAAGGTTCAACTTAGGGATAATTAATCACACCACCTTTTCATCACTATTCCAGAATTGGGCGGCTTTTGGTATCTCCAGGTGAATAAGAATAGAAAAGACATGTATTAAAACACTTCACAAAAATGCTTATCAAATAAGACATGCTTAATAGATATTTATTTTTCTTACTATAGTGACTATAGTGTGGAAATCCCTGCTTCTTTTCAGTGCCTTACGACAAACATTAAATGCTTGTGAAGCTTCATTCACACAGATATCTAAGGTAAATTTTGTGAGAAGGAAGGGAAAGGTTAGTATAATGTAATGTGTCATAAATGCTGTATTGATATAGATTTATTTGTTTGTTTATTTATAATGATTTTATTTATTTGAGAGGGAGAGAGAGCACGAGTGCAAGTGCACACTCAAGGTGGGGGGGGGCAGAAGAAAAGAATCTCAAATAGACTCCCCAGTAAGCAGGAAGCCCAAGAACACAGGATTTGATCTCAGGGTCCTGAGATCATGACCTGAGTTGAAATCAAGAGTTGGATGCTTAACTGACTGAGCCACCCAGGCATCAGGTATTGATATAGTTTTAAAATCTTTCCTAAAATCTCTCAGTTCCTATGTGCTGGCAGTTTGCTAAGCCCCCACCCTAACCACCTTCCTCATTAGACTTCCACACTCCAGAGCTAGATACCAGACAAATAGGGACAGCCCCTATGCCCAGGAACATGAGAAATTATTCAGTTTAGCCAGTCCACATCAAGCCTAGGAAAACTAGCTAACCCCAGCCCCACTCCCCATACATCAACTGCCCCTTGTTACTGGGCTCCTGAGTGCAACTCTCTGTGTGGCAGCCTTGTCTAGTTTGTAAATATAAGTAACACAGACTTCTGCATTTCATCTAGCCAAGATTAGTTTGTTCTATCCCACCATTGAAAGAATCTTTAAATATTATTAAATAGTAATGTAATCTTTAGTCTCAATTCTTAGAATAATCTCATTGAAGGACTTTCAAACAGAATTGAGTTACATGTCCACAGATTTAGTAAAGAAATGCTACTTCCTATAGTAAGTAGTGATGGATAAAGAGAATTCAAATTGATATTTTAAATGAAAGACAATATTCTTTTCAAGAGCTCACTCAGAAATTTTCATAATTTCAACATTAATTGCACTCATCATTTGATGAATCCAAGGTTACACTTTATTATTGCCTTTCATGTGATCTGTAACAAGGGCAAATAGCTCAAATTCTCATATCTGCAAAGCTATAAAGTATGTAAGCAATGTCTATAACCATAAATGGGTTCGAATATTGACAGTAAAGTTAAACAAAACAGTTGTATGCAAAAAAAATTAACTCAGGGAAGAGGTACACTGGCAACTAAATCAAAATGCATTAAATCTTGGCAATCTGAATTAATACAGATTGTTACCCTATTTTGTTAATAAATAATAATTCAATAAAAAATGAAGTGAAATTTACTGTTTATCAGAGGGTGCTCATTTTCCATCCACCTAAAATTACTTTTGATTATTACAAATGCAAATTACTGGGCCCTTCTAGAGGTAGAACTCAAGAATCCACTTTTTAAAAAAACCTTCATGTTGATTTTTGTGTACTCTACAGTTTATGTGTATTTCTTTTTTTTTCACTGTTTAGGGAATTTTTTTTAAAGCAAGAATTTTATAATCCAAATTACGTTACCTTGCTCAGTTATCAATTCTGTTATTTAAAACAGAAGTGACATTCTGAGCTATTCCCCAGTAAAGAATTACAAAATTAAAGAAAGGAATGCTTTAAATTTTTGTACTTTGCTGAAAATTCTTTTTCCCAGGGTCTATAAAACATTAATTTGTTTTTATATTTTACTATTTTTTGTGGGGTTTTTTTGTTGTTGTTTTTAAATCAATATGTAATCTAGGACTAGCATTATGTTTGCTAGACCTGGCATTTTCTCAGTACATAAGGTTCAAAGTTTCCTTTCCTTTTTTTAATTTATTTTATATTTTGCAATGTTATTTTTTTTCCATAATGTTTAAGTTTTTTGATGTTTAGATATTTTTCTTCGGTGAAGCACGAGTTTCTTTTCATAGTCACTGATCAATTTTAAACAGTTGGAACACCAGTGGCACTGTTAACTGCTTTCTGGGCAGCCTCTTTAGCTTGGTGGGCTTGTAGTACAGCTACAGCTTCATCAACTTTAGAACGGAGACTCTGGAGACTCAAGCATATGAAGAAGTTCTGAATTATCAATCTCCAACAACATGCCAGTGATTTTACCAGCAAGAGTAGGGTGCATGGCTTGAATTAGAGGAAAGAGCTGTTCACCCAACATTCGCTTTTGCTCTTGAGAAGGGACAGATGCCAACATGGAAGCAGTCAAAGGCTCCTGACCTTGTACATGAAGAGCAGGCTGCTGCATGGTAACTTGTGGCTGTGTATTAAGATGCTGTTGAGGATCGTGAACTCCCGCAGCGTACTTATACTGTGGAACGGTGTGAACAGCAGGTGTATTTCTAAAAAAGTTGGGGGTAGATAATTTGTGTGACATCCTCGTCAATGCACCCTTTTACAAATTCCCAAATCAATTTAATTCACAAATTATCTTAGTCCCTGCCTTCTCTCCCAGCCATTCTAGGACTATCAAAAATATAGATTTGGCCAGTCAAGTCGTCTTGCTGGCAGTCCAGCACAAAGTTATCTGAAGAGAATAAATGAAAAAAAAATAAATAAATACAATTCCCATTATTGAATGTGCATTAAATGGTACAGTTTAGGTGTTTTTCATATATCATCTTAATTTTAAAACTCTAAGTATTATAGGTAATATTTTCATTTAATACATTTAGGATCATAGAGATTAAGTAACTTGTTTATGGTCATATAATGAGTGATTGGGTCTGGATTAGAACACAGGGTTTACTTCAAACACTCATTCCTTTTCCACACAGCCTCTGATAATTAAAAAACAATCAATCAATCAATAATCAGGGAAAGAAAAAAGAAAGGTAGAAGACAAAATGTCATTATGTCACCAAAATACTCTGTTTTATAATAGCCAAAATATAACTTACCTTTTAAGACTTCCCTACTCTCTTCACTCCAGGAGTTCTCTGCTTTTCCAGGTTCTTGGCTTAGTCCTGATAAGTCCCATGGTAAATTTTTCCACCTCTGGTATGTCATCAGCTAAGTCATTGACTCTCTGAATTACACTAATATCAAAAAAATATATATTTTCCCCATCTTAAACTCTGATTTTATGATACAGCAGCCACTGGCTATATGTGACTATTTTAATGCAATTAATTTAATTTAATTAATACTTTAAAATTAATTAAAATTGAAGAAAATAAAAAAAATCAGTTGCCTGGTCACACTCACCAAATTTGGGGTGGTCACTAACTTCATTGGATAAGAGCTATTGAATTGGATAGTACAGATCTATAACATTCCTATTGGGTAGCATTGCCTAAATATACAAGTAAAAGGAAATTTTATATTTGAGGGATGTGTTATCTTTGGTACAAAAAATTTTTCTCTATATTTGAAAACTTATTTTGATAAAAAAAATTTTAAAAATCTTTAACCATTAACGTTTTTAGGTTTTCACTTGAAATTATAATCCCTCTCCATCCTTAAAAAAAATAGATTAAAGGGTTTTTAAAGGTACAGATGGTAAAAATCTGCTTATTACACTGACTGGACATTACAGAATGTTAGTTCTAAAAGGAAAGTTGATTCATAATTAATTTTTATTTTTACAACCAGATAGATTCAAGCAGTTAAGACTGTCATGGTGCAATTTTCTGTGGTTTTCTACACATTTTGTGACAGCATTTGTTCTGGACTGTCATTTCAAGGACATTTGTATAGCAAACAGCCTTAAAAGATAGAGGTCCCTTCAGGGCAGAGGGTAGATTTGTTTCCTTAGCAGATTAATAAAGATGACATCTCTTTCTGGAGCCAAAGTTGGTGAGATTTTCTAGAATTCCCCTTTCAAATACTGAGGGTTTCCTAAGTTTGGGGTCACTTAGCTGTGACACAAACCCACTGTGTGTGCAGCACCCACCTGGTCTGCTGTATATCTTCACCTTGGATCTTGGAGGCCAGGGGACTGATGTCAGTGAAGCTGCCTGCTGGGTCATGACTCATAATGTCTTGTTTCTAACCCAGGAGTCTGTGTCATTATGCTAGACTACATTGTGACAGTCTCATGTGTAAACTTGCAAGCTGGGTAAAATCTCAAGACTTTACACAGTTCTTCAAAAAATCTTAAGACAAATTAGAGCTTGTAACTATGTCCTGAGAACCAGCCTATAACCCAGAGTGTGGTGGAGAGGCAGAATGGCCAAAAGGGTGGGGATTGAAGACGTGGAAGGTAGAGATGGCTGGTAACAAAACACATCATTTTATTTTGTAACAAGTCCTAATCCATTTAATTTTTGGCCAGTTAAACCTAGACCCACTGAAATAAGGGATATGAGCTAATACTAATCTTGGTCAAAAACAAAGCAAAACACCTGAAAACACAGGTTTTTGAGAATAAAATAGATCGCTAAATAGTTTTGCAATCTTCACCCATTTTTCCTCACCATTATCAGTTCTAAAAGATTCCACATTAAAAATCATCCCACTGGTTGGTAAAAATTCTCTTCTTCCCATCCTAAAGCCACCATCCCCTTGTTCTTGCTTTTCCAATCCTAAATCAGTAAGAAAACTTAGTCAAAACTAGATTAAAAACGGTCTCTTGGACTCACACTCACCCCCAAACCACCTTGCATCCCTCTCCCACTCCAGAATTCCCTCACCCCCTCTACCCCCTCCACACACACCTTGATATGGAAGGTGTACAACATGTGCCCAGAAGGATGGGGAAATATTGCTTCATAGAAAGAAAGTAGTCAAAACACAACCAATTGACTGCTAACTTTACTAAAGTGATGTATTATCAAATTTTTAAACTCACAACTGTAGTTTATTTCAGTATATAGCAAAATAAATATATTCAGATTTTTACATTTGATTACCCTATTTAAACAAAATTCACACTGTTTCTATCATTTTGAATAAAATAAATTATAACTGACATTGTTTTTACTTTTCCCAGCACTGGGTTTGTTTTTTATTTATTTATTATTTATTTATTTATTATTTTTTAGTGTTCAACGATTCATTAGTTGTGTATAATACCCAGTGCTCATTCCAACACGTGCTCACATTAATACCCATCACCAGTCACCCATCTCTTCACCCCCCTCCCTTCTGTAACTTTCAGTTTGTTTCCCAGAGTCCAGAGTCTCTCATGGTTTGTCTCCCTCTCTGATTTCTTCCCAGTTTTCCCTCCCTTCCCCTGTGGCCCTCTGTTCTATTCTTTATGTTCCACATATGAGTGAACATATATGGTAATTGTCTTTCTCTGCTTGGTTTATTTCACTTAGCATAATCCCCTCCAGTTCCATCCATGTCAATGCAAATTGTGGATATTCATCCTTTCTGATGGCTGAGTAATGTAACATTATATATATGTACCACATCTTCTTTAACCACTCTCTGTTGAAGGGCATCTTGGTTTATTCCATAGTTTGGCTATTGTGGACATTGCTGCTATAAACATTGGGGTGCATGTGCCCCCTCTTTTTACTATATCCATGTCTTTGGTGTAAATATATAGTAGTGCAATTGCTGGGTCATAGGGTAGCTCTATTTTTAACATCTTGAGTAACCTCCATAGAGTTTTCCAGAGTGGCTGCACCAGCTTGCATTACCACCAACAGTACAAGAGGGTTCTGCCTTCTCCACAACCTCGCCAACACTTGTTGTTTCCTGTATTGTTAATTTTGGCCATTCTAGCTGGTGTAAGGTGGTATCTCATTGTGGTTTTGATTTGGATTTCCCTGATGGCTAGTGATGTTGAACATTTTTTTCATGTGTCTGTTAGTGATGTGTATGTATTCTTTGGACAAGTGTCTGTTCATGTGTTCTGCCCATTTCTTGATTGGATTATTTCCTCTTTGGGTATTGATTTGCTAAGTTCTTTATGAATTTTGGATACTAACCCTTTATCTGATATGTCATTTGCAAATATCTTCTCCTATTCTGTCAGTCATCTTTTGGTTTTGTTGACTGATTTTCTTGCTGTGCAAAAGCTTTTTATCTTGATGAAGTCCCAAAAGTTCATTTTGGTTTTTGTTTCCCCTGCCTTTAGAGAAGTGTCTTGAAAGAAGTTGCTGTGGCTGTTGTCGAAGAGGTTACCACCGATGTTCTCCTCCAGGATTTTGATGAATTCCTGTCTCACATTGAGGTCATTCATCCATTTTGAATTTATCTTTTTGTATGGTTTAAGAGAATGGTCTAGTTTCATTCTTCTCCGTGTGGCTGTCCAGTTTTCCCAGCACCATTTATTAAAAAGACTGTTGTTTTCCCATTGGATATTCCTTCCTACTTTGTTAAAGATCAGATGTCCATAGAGTTGAGGGTCCATTTCTGGGATTTCTAATCTGTTCCACTGATCTATGTGTCTGTTTTTGTGCCAAGACCATACTCTCTTGATGACTATGGCTTTGTAATATAGCATGAAGTCAGGCATTCTGATGCTCCCAGCTTTCGTTTTCTTATTCAACATTCCCCTGGCAATTCGGGGTCTTTTCTGGTTCCATACAAATTTTAGGATTCTTTATTCCAGCACTTTGAAAAATGCAATTGGTATTTTCATAAGGATTGCATCAAAAATGTACATTGCTCTGAGCAGGATAGACATTTTAACAATGTTTATTCTTCCAATCCATGAGCATGGAAAGGTTTTCCATCTTTTTGTGCCTTCCTCAATTTATTTCCCTTTTTTAAATCTTTTTGTTAATTTTTAATTAACATATAATGTATTATTTGTTTCAGGGGTACAGGTCTATGATTCATCAGTCTTACAAAATTCACAGTGCTCACATAGTATATACCATCCCCAGTGTCCATCACCCAGCCACCCCATCCCTCCCACCCCCTCCACTCTAGCAACCGTCAGTTTGTTTCCTGAGATTAAGAGTCTCTTATGGTATGTCTCCATCTCTGGTTTCATCTTGTTTCATTATTCCCTCCCTTCCCCTATGATCCTCTGCCTTGTTTCTCAAAATCCTTATATCAGTAAGTTCATATGATAATTATCTTTCTCTGATTGAATTATTTCACATAGTATAATACCCACTACTTCCCTCCACACCATTGCAAATGGCAAGATTACACTTTTTGATGGCTCCATAATATTCCATTTTATATATATATACCACTTCTTCTTTATCCACTCATCTGTTGATGGACATCGAGGCTCTTTTCATAGTTTAGCTATTGTGGACATTGCTGCTATAAACATTGGGGTGCCTGTGCCCCTTTGGATAACTACATTTATATCTTTGGAGTAAATACCCAGTAGTGCAATTGCTGGGTCATAGGGTAGCTCTATTTTCAACTTTTTGAGGAACCCCTATACTGTTTTCCAGAGTGGCTGCACCAGCTTGCATTCCCACCAACAGTGTAGGAGGGTTCCTCTTTCTCTGCATCCCCGCCAACATCTGTCATTTCCTGACTTGTTAATTTTAGCCATTCTGACTGGTGTGAGGTGGTATCTCATTGAGCTTTTGATTTGGATTTTCCTGATGCCGAGTGCTCTTGAGCACATTTTCATGTGTCTGTTGGCCATTTGGATGTTTTCTTTGCAGAAATGTCTGTTCATATCTTCTGCCCATTTCTTGATTGGATTATTTGTTCTTTGGGTGTTGAGTTGAAGAACTTCTTTACAGATTTTGGATACTACCCTTTATCTGATGTGTCATTTGCAAATAGCTTCTCCCATTCTGTTGGTTGTCTTTTAGTTTTGTTGACAGTTTCCTTTGCTGTGCAAAAATTTATCTTGATGAAGTCCCAATAGTTCCTTTTTGCCCTTGCTTTTCTTGCCTTTAGTGATGTTTCTAGGAAGAAGTTGCTGCGGCTGAGGTTGAAGAGGTTGCTGCCTGTGTTCTCCTTTATGATTTTGAAGCGTTCCTGTCTCACATTTAGGTCTTTCATCCATTTTGAGTCTTTTTTTGTGTGTGTGGTGTAAGGAAATTGTCCAGTTTCATTCTTCTGCATGTGGCTGTCCAATTTTCCCAAAACCATTTGTTGAAGAGACTGTCTTTTATCCATTGGATATTCTTTCC